ACAAACAAAACTCACTGCCATTGAGTCCATTCCAACTTATAGCGACACTATGTAAGCTATAGTAGTTCCAAATGTTAAATGTCTAACAGTAAAAACAAAAAACAGTGACAAAACCAACAGTACAAAGTCTTCTTTATGCAGAACTATAAAATTATTTTTATAGTCACTTTGCAGGACAGATGTTATTAAAATAGGCAATACACTAAACTAAGTCACAACGATAAGAGCCCGGTGGTGCAGTGGTTAAGTGCTCAATTGCTAATCAAAAGATCACTGGATTAAACCCACCAGCATCTCCACAAGTACAGACCCAGCGCTCTGATCTGTATGGATTCAAAGGGCAGTTCTTGGCTGTGCTACAGGGTCGCTGTGACTCAGCATCAACTGGAGAACAGCAGATTTGGTTTAGTTAACCAACGAGGGGCCTTTTCTCTCTATTCTGCTATAGCAGACCTTACGAACTATTCCTTTTTAGAGACCAACCATATTCTCTTTTCAGTGTCAAATTATTTATTCCTTCTCTCCAAACATGAGGCAAATACACAAGAATCTTATCTTCGACCAATTCCCCCCACCCCATCCTTGTTGGCTCTTATCCTACCAAATTTCAAATATCTCATCATATGTATGGTCAATTTTCAGATTTCTGTTCGGAACTTTTAACTCTAGCTTCAATCAGTTAACAAATATTTGCCACATAGTTACTGATAGACACTGATATTAGAATTTATTCAAAATCTACAAGGCAATTCACTGCTATCAAGGAGAAGTGCCTCATCATGCTGTTGAGTGGGTTCCAACCCACAGCAACCTTATGCACAACAGAAGAAAACACTGCCAGGTCCTGCGCCATCCGACAAGTGTTTCCATGCCTGAGCCCACTGTTGCAGCCCATGGTGTCAATCCAGCTCCGTGAGGGCCTTCCTATTTTCACTGTCCCTCAACTTTACTAAACATGATGTCATTTTCCAGGGACTGGTCTCACCTGACAATATGTCCAAAGTAATGCTAGAAGCCATGTCACTGCATTTCCAATGTCATCAGGGTCACCTAAAGTAAACAGGTTTCATCAGTTTCCAGGCCAAGAAGAGACAACAAAGGACTCCGCTCCCCACTTCAGAGGAAGCAGCTGCTGAAAACCTTATGTAGTTTTGAAATATTGTCAGGTACTGAAGGCCTCTGACTAGCAGACCAAAAAGCCTAACTCCGGAAGTCCCAAATGGAACATTCATGTCCCCTCTTCCAAAGCACTGGATACATGTTAGTAGATCTATAGTCTCATTATCATACTGATGAAAATTGTTCTCAATCCATATTCAATCAGTTACCAAGTAAATCTGTTCTTTATTCATAGCATTCTCTTCCATTGCCCCAAGATGTTAAACATTTTTACCCAAACTAAAACCACCTCTCAACCGTTCTCTAGTTTCTCCTATCTATTCCATAATCAACTGACAAATTAATAAATTTCCTAAACTGAAGATCTGATCCATCACTTTAATTGCATAGTAATGTTTAACTGTCCCTCAATAAACAAGTCACGCTTAGCTTGGATTTAAGCTGAGCACAGAATAAGAAGACTGAAGAATCGATGCCCTGGAATAACAGTGTTTTAGAACATTGATTATACACCATAAAATGCCAGAACAAACAAATCTGTCTTTGAACAAGTACAACCAGAATGCTGGCTCTCAAACTGTGGGTTGCGACCATTACAATTATGAAGTAGCAACGAAAATAATTTTATGGTTGGGGTCAACACAACATGAGGAGCTGTATTAAAGGGTCACGGCATTAGGAAAATTTAGAACCACTGCTCTAGAACAGATGGTGAGACTTCATCTCATGTATTGTACATCTTAACAGAAAGGACTAAAAAACCCACTGCTATTACACTGATTCCAATGCACAGAGACCCTATGTAACATTTTTTTTCAAGGCATTAAATCCTTATGGGAGCAGATGTACTTTTTTCTCCAGAGGAGCAGCTGGTGGGTTTGAGCTACAGACCCTGCAGGTAGCAGTCCAATGTTTACTTAAGAGGAAAACCCTTAGCCAGATGGATTGACATAGAGGCTCCAACTAGGGACTCAAACATAGTAACTGAGGACGGTGCAGGACGGAGCAGTAGGACACATGGGGTCCCTACGAGCCAGAACCAGCTCAAGGGTACCTAATGACAGCATTATCTGGTCTTTATCTATTATTATTTTTTCACCTCTATCACCCACTATTTCTTTACCTCAATCGAACCTGCTTATTTATTTGATCATACCCTAATCTCCCCTCTCTTACTTTGTATGTCATTTTTTCCATCTTTATCTCCACTCTAGTCAACAGCTCCATTTCTATCTTTTAGAAGCTAAACTATTGCTTGGTTCAAGAACACCATGTCTCAAAAGCCTCCTGTCCATCTGAGTTAGAAGCAACATGCTAACAGTGGTAGATCCCTAAATCTATAATATGTATAAAGCTTTTTCTTTTTTAACATTACTTATACATTTGTTTCAAGTTACGTACAATCTTACAAGGAAAGATGTAGGCTATATGTAATAGCTTTCCTACTAGGATCGTAAGAAACTTGTAAAAATAATCCTATTCATTTTTAGACTCCTACCAAAAATTACATTTGTCGAGGTATCTAATACCTATTATATATGTTGAATTTATAAAATACATACACACAAAAATCAGTGCAAATCATGAGAATATTATCATATTTATTTCTTGAGAAGATTAAAACGTGATTTTCTCCACTACCATTAATAGTGTGCCTTGCACCTTCTATGTATATTTGAATCTTTATAATAATTTCCTTGACTCAGAATATAAAATTGCTTTCCAAGGTTTCAATTTTACATTATTGAGTATAGCTACTGATCACACATAAAACCGCCTTATCACCGAAAGCACTATTGTAGATGGAGATGGCTTCCCTGGAGGTTTTCTCAAAACCCGGGCAACAAAACCCAACATTTTTTTTTAAGGAGAGAAATATAGCACAGTACAATTACAGGTCTATGTTCTCTTTGAAATATCCACTAACCCAAATGTTTGTTTATAGTCTATACTTTTAGGTTCAAAAATTAATAGATATGTGGCATTAAATTCAAAAATTAATTCAACAAAGATTTACTGAATACCTACTATGTGGAAAACACTGTGATGACACAAAGATTAATAAGACATAATTTTCACCTTCTGGAGCCCATGATTAAATGTAACACACACACACACACACACACACACAAATAATTCTAATATAAGGTAGATTATGTCAGTGCTAAAAAGCTTCTAACAAGGTACAAATAGAGTGTTATGAGAGATTAATTTAACCAAAGGGTACCTGAGAAGGCTTCACAGTGAAAGATGTGCTTATATTTGGCTTTCTTTTTTTAAATCAAGGTACATGATTCAAAATTTTTCAAATTGACTTCTTTTTAAGTAACCAATTTTGTTGTGATTTCTTTATTCACTAGGGTTACAACAGAACATTTTCCCCCCACAAAAGTACTGATTCAACATGTAAGTTAAAATTTTAATTAAGCTGATTTTTAAAGCTCATCTTGAAACATAAAGAAATGTTTTCTATAGGCCAGACATAGGAATTAATAAGAAAAATGGGGTGTATTCAAGAAGAAGGCATAGCATATCTAATAATCAGGCTTATTATTTATTTTAAAATACTCTTACAGACTCATCGTAACCCCTATATTTCATTTATGGTAAAAGAAAGTCTCATCTTTTTTCCTTAAACTGGTGGGTTCAAACTGCTTACCTTACGGTTAGCAATCCAACCCATAATCCACTATACCACCAGAGACTCAAAGCAATAGCAGTGGGATCTGTTCTTTGTCCGTACTCCACAAGAAAGGCTGTCGTTACCTGCCTTCAGAGTTGGTCCACTGACACACGGCCACCCAATATATTACAAGGGATAACTGTTCCATTGTTATACCTTGTATAACCTTCAAAACTGTAAAATTCATGGAAGAGCCTGGTGACATAAATGATTCAGCAGCTACATGGACAACCTGGTGATCTGCTTCCATAGAGAATTAGTCAAGACACCTCCGCGAGGCAGTTGTAGTCTGTCACATGGGGGTCATTATGAGTCAAAACCAACTGCGTGGCACCTCACAACAGCAATCTTTATGGAAGCAGTTTACCAGGCCTTTCCTCTGAGGAGCTGCTGGGTGAGTTCAAATCTCTTGCACCACAAATAAAACCCCAAAGCAAACCCATTACCTTTGAGTGAGGCTGTGTTCAAGTCCAGTCAGACCCATAGTGAACATATATAACAGAGTAGAGCTGCTCCCTAGGTTTTCTAACACTATAAATCTTTACAGGACTGTTTTCTTTCACCTTTCCTCAGTGAAGCGGGTGGTGAGTGCCAACCTTGAACCCTGGGGTAATTAGTCCAATGTGTAAACCACCCGCTGGGTCACCAGGACTCATTTGCACCAAAAAGGATAAGCACATATAAGTATTTTCTTAGGTTTTTTTAAAACAATTTGTATAGCATGTAGTGCCAATATGAAAAGGGAAACAATGATCATTTTTTCATTCAAACCACCTTCCTACTACTATACTGGCCTTTTCCTGATAAACCGCCAAAGGTCTGGATCACAGCTTGGAGAATTTGCTTTTTCCAGCAAGCTTCACTGATACCCCATCTACACACTTCCTTGAAGACTCTGAGTTGCCATTATCTAACTCTGTGTGGTTAGAATCTCGGTGACAGCTAAAAGGACTACAAGTCTCAAGCTTTAAAAAAAAAAAAAAACTTGCACAAAGGGATGGTAAACATCCAGTTGACAGATGCCAATTAGAGTAAAAATTATGATGGACAGGAATAAAAGCAAATTAGGCAACATGTACAAGTATGGAATTCCGAGCTCACAAAACATGAGGCTTCCAATTGCATTACAGGATTCACCTGTGGTTACTGCATTTAACAATTAAGCAAGGATTAAAATTTGGGGGAAGGGTAAATTATATCTATTTTTATAAAACGTTTCCTTCAAACCCATCTCTTGAATTGATCTATAAATATGAGAGCTGAAGCCAGACTGTGTACATTTCAGCCGGGCAAGCTGGGAAATAACTAACATGCAAGTTCACCAAGAACATGTTACAGGGTGCAGTTTCCTGCGAACAGGCAGAGGGACCAAGAAAAGGGGGGCGAGCACAGGAACAGTGCACCCTCTCATCACCCGCACTGAGCCAACACACAGCTAGAGGCTTTACCGTCGCTCACGTTCCTCGTGGCCTGTGACATGGCATCATTCCAACCTATGGGGCTGCCAGCTCCCCCACCCCACCCCACCCCCTCTGAAAATAAATGCCCGTGCAGGTTGTAAAATTGTCTTCGCAAACTCCTTACTTACATTTCCCGGCTCGGGACGAGTAGTCCCCAGGATGAGAAAGGTCACAGGGACAGGGAAGTTCCGTGAAGTGGTCGTGCTCGGGGTCCGACGGGAGCCCCG